TTTTTGTACTATTTTCCTGAGTGAATTAACGAGTTAACAGAGTGAATTAACAGAGTGAATTAACGAGTTAATTATATCAGAATTACGAGATGATTTCTCATGGAAAAAAAGATTTTGCTCTGTTATTCTGAATTAACAAGTTAATTATCTCATAATTACGAGAATTTTTCATGGAAAAAAGTTTTTGTACTATTTTCCTGAATTAATGACTTTGATTATCTCAAAATTAGGAGTAACTCATTAATTCATAAAAACTTTTGAAAAAAAAAAATTTTCAAGAAAAATATCTCATAATTCTGAAATAATTAACTTGTTAATTCAGAAAAACAGTCGATTTTGTTTTCTCAAGTGAATGCAATACGCTTCCGTAAGTTTGAGAGTAAATTATGAGAGATTTAAATTTTTTTGTGAACTATCCCTTTACTTAAATTCCATAATCTTACGAGTTGTTCTGAAGAAAGGCGGAGAGTTTTCTGATAGGACACGCCTAATCCAGCAGGGACGGAGTCTGTGTGAACCGGTACAGGGGTTTGTCTGGCAGATAAGTGATCTTCATCACTGGAAGAGGACTCGTCTTTCCGTCTGTCAACAAACACTTGGTTAAACATACGAGTAATTACAGACTGCAACATAATTTCAGATGAAATCGTATGATGGATCCATCAGATCCGAACCTGTTCTTGATGGTCTCGTCTCCTGCAGCACAGGCTGAACCACTTGATACTGAATCCTGCAAACACAAAGACATGAGCAAAAGTCAACATCCAGCGCATCACCTAAAACAAAGCCCATCGTGATGATTTGTGTACAAATTTGACTGAGCACCGGTTTGGCACTGTTTGTTCTTCCTCGCCACGAAAACCACCATCTTCCTCGGTTTCTGGGCATCTTCTCCTTCATAAGTCTCTCTACGGTGGCCTGTGAGGGACACGCACACAAGCGTAATGCTAAATAACCGAAAAACTCAAAAATAAACACAAAGACACAAAGTCTCAAAACACATGCAGGGAAGATGATTGATAAAAACTAGTGCAACGAACTGAGGAACTAAAGAAATTAAGCAGGTGACAGAAAGCAAACTCCAGCAAAGAACAGACGTGACTGAGCCCTGCAAACTAAAACACACACACACACACACACAGGGAGGTGATACACAGGACAAGAGAACATGGTAAAACTTGATAAGTGTCATTACGATTATCTCAAGTGATTGTTAAACTACTAGTGGCATTTGCAGTTGCAATATACATTCAAAAGTTTGGGGTTGGTAAGATGTTTTAATGTTTTGAAAAGTCTCTTATGTTCGCCAATGCTGCATTTATTTGATCAAAAATACAGTAAAAATCACATGATCCTTCAGAAATCATTCTAATTTGCTGCTCAAGAAACTTCTTATTATCAACGTTGAAAGTTGTGCTGCCTAATATTTTTATCTTTTATTTTTATATATATATATATATACGTTATCGGATAATATTAGATATTTAATAATGCATGCTCATTTCCCATATTTTTAATACTTGGAACATATCAAAATAATTGTAAAAATCATGTCATGGCTTTTAAATGTTATTTCTATAGAAAAATCTCAAAGTGAATATCCATTTTCATTATATTTTTTAATTTATTGCATCAGTTTATCTGTATCGTCCATAATACTATATATGTATATAAGTGATACCAGTATTAAGAAAATATTTATTTCAATACAAAAACAGTCCTAAAATGCTGCACAGGGACTTCTGGGAGAACATTTTTACATTTTTATTCATTTAGCTGACGCTTTTATCCAAAGCGACTTACAATTGCTATATATGTCAGAGGTCGCACGCCTCTGGAGCAATTGGGGGTTAAGTGTCTTGCTCAGGGACACATTGGTGTCTCACAGTGGATTCGAACCCGTGTCTCTCACACCAAAGGCATGTGTCTTATCCACTACTACTATTGAGAACTATTGAGTGAGTTAAATGAATCACTGAATCAGTTGTTTGAACAAGTTCACTGAAATAAAACATCTGATTTAATTGATTTGCTAAAATGAATCGGACTTCCAAATGTTACTGGAGAAAGAGAGACTATATAGTGTGTGTGTGTGTGTGTGTGTGTGTACCTTAGGCAATGGTTTCTGGAAGGCTTGCATAGCAAGCATAATAGGAGCAGCAGTGCTCCAGTTATAATACCTGCAAAAATAGCAGCTGTTATTTTCAGTCCAAGACAAATGAGATGAGAATCGATTACAGTAATGTGAACCTCACTTAGAGCCGATCTTCACCACCAGATTAGGGTCATCAATGATGGATGGATTATCAGCAAACTGCTGAAAAGACACAGCCTTCTGCTGGAAATGCTCTGAACGAGAGAGAGAGAGGACAGTAAATCAATAGGAGTGCATACATATGTATTAGTTTGAGTGAATGTAAGATTAACGCCAGACAGATTCTCTACGCACGTACGCAAATGCAGCCCTGAATGCATTTCAAGCAAGTAGTCCTGACTCCTGATGTACATAATTAATGTGCAGTGCAGTCTGAGCACCTTTAGTGATCTCTCTGTTTTCTGTGAGGCCTCCACAGAGAGAGATGGCCATTGTGGGAAGGTCGTAACTGTCCACTCCGCTGTCTGCTCCTGAGCTGCACATAGACTGAGGAGACGCGGTCACACTGCGGACACCATTCTCACACAACCGCTCTGAACCACTGAGAAAACACAAACACAAGCAATGTTACATTGTTAATATAAGCAGTCAATCTAGCATACACAGATTTGATAAAGCCGACTTTATCATATTCTATCACTCTCTCAATTATCATTGTGTTGCATTGCATTATGTTTTGCCCACCTACAATAAAAACATAACTTTGATCGTAAAACTAAGCATTAATATCATCTCACTAAAACATTATTAGGTGATATAGAGTAACAGCTGATATGTATATGCAACAGTTTTAAAAGATCTCATTGAATTACATTACCAGCTATCCAAATTTCATCTTCATTTTTGGCCATATTTGGCCTCTAAATACAGTTTTTCTTGAGTATGAGCTCCATATTTTAATTACAACATACTATGTGAGCTATTAAAAGCCTGATGCATTAAATATGATGCTCAAAACTTACATTATACAAAAAAATAACTTTTTAAAAATATTTTGTCAAAAGATTCCCTGTTCCATTTAAAAAAAAAATGTTTTTCCAACTATTATTTCATATGTCAATCTTTACAGGGTTAATACAGGTGAAATTGGGATGACAAACCTTTTAGGGAAGTAAAGTGCCGCCACCTCCGGCTTCAAATCCTTTATATCATCCAAATACACGCCATCAGAACCCAGATGGCGACTTTTCTTATCTGCATGAGTACACACATAAGTTAAATAGACAAAAACAAGGCTAACTGAATTTCTAACCCCAAAATTATGCAGTATAACCTTTTCTTTTAGTCTTATTTTGTGGGCGGGGTCCAGTATTTGCTCCTCCCTCCTCAACCTCAGACATCACGCAAGCTGCTGGTGTCACATCCTGCTTTTCAAACTCTTTCGCCCTGTGTGATTGGCCATCAGCATGTAATGTCCTGTTGCTGTCATGGTGATGGGCGGCAGTCTCAGGGATGACTCTGAAATGTGTGTTGTCAGAGACTGGGATTGATAGTGAGGCAGAAGCAGGCAGGACGTTTGGATTCGCTGACAGAAACGAAGGCTGTAAATAAATGTTTATTATGAGGTAAGTATGAGTTTAATAAATGAGGGGTCTTTCGAGTCGGTATAGTTGCTGTTAGTTGGGTTAATGTGTCAGTGAGTTGGATTTTAGGATAATTCTGACCTTGGCAACTTGTGGTAACTCCCCCCAGGACCACAACATGTCCGAATCGTCCTGCTGGCCTTGACAAAGCAGTTCAGAGTCACTCTTAGGGGTGCAGGGACGAGACGCATTAGGACTGGAGAGAAAAAGAGAGGACATAATAGGAAAACATATATTTTTTCATAGTTTTACATACATTTTATGTATATGCCAAACTCATCAATACTATGCAAATAAAGATTTTAGGTTATTTTGCAATATTTTTATAATAGTGAATAAGGGTGTCTGAGCGAATCTCTGTTTTAAGGCTCTTCCATTATATTTATACCTTTATATTAGAAATCATTCTAATTTGCTGCTCAAGAAACATTTGTGATTATTATTAATGTTGAAAACAGTTGTGCTGCGTAATTTTTTGTGGATTTTTTCAGGATTCTTCGATGAATAGAAAGTTCAAAAGCATTTATTTTTTTAATTATTATATTATTATTAGTAGTAAATATTATAAAGGTCTTAACAGACACTTTTAATCAATTTAATGCATCCTTTAAAAAAAAAAATAGTAAAGGCCCCAAACTTTTGAATGTTTATAGTGCATGTATTTTTTATATATGCCGAAATATCTGTTTTTTTAATTCATAGATATTTTAATTTATTTTTAATCTGCCAATATTATAAATATATTTTGAGCACTAATAATTTAATAATCTAATCTTGAACAAAACTCTCATTTTTCATGCTATGATGCCTAAATTAACTTGAGGGATTTAAAACTCAATTATAGTGTGTATGTGTGTGTTTGAGCTCTACCTGTGAACAGGAGTCAACTCTCCATCTGAGCGAGCATAAGTTGTGTTTTGCTTGTTTCCAGTGGATGAACCTCCATTCGGCAGGTCTCTACACACATAGAAACATACATAAGATACCGGTGTTGGTATTCTGAAAATAGTAACTATTACATATTGAAATTGATGTATTTGCTCTAAAAAGGGTAAGGGTTAGAGCCGACCTGTTCTGACCGGGCTGCTCGCTGTCATTGATGTCGATGTTAAACAGTTCCTCCTCTGATAACTCCACACTCTCCTCCCTCTTCACATCCTCTGACCTGCACTTCCTTCTCCTCTTTCTTCTCTTCTTAATCATTCCATTCTCAGTGCAGGAGCCCATCAGAAAACCCCCGTCGGACGGAATGGGAGATGTGGCCAGGTAAGAAGGAATCACTTCCTGTAGGGAGTCATCAGAAAAGAAAGTTAATCTGAGATCTGATCTAACAAGTGTGTACTGTACTCTATTTGTTTTGGCTCTGAATGAGGTCACATAATATTGTTAAATGTGAATGTAAAGTGTGCAGTGTACTAATCAGAAGTATTAGATGAGATGAAATGATGAAAATAAGATTGTGGGCAAAAAAAAAAAGGATGTTCCCACAGCTGATCTCAGAACCACAAATTCAGGCAAGTTTCACATTTACAGTGGTCTTACCACACTTCCTATATTTACTTCCTGTATTTTTTTCGATATGATCCCATCAGAACACTAATCTGTTCCAAAATGCTCTTCTATTCTACAATAATGCTTCGTTATAGAACTGTTCTGTTACTTTTTAGAATTTTCTAAATTCTAAAAGTGTTCATTTTCTGTTCCAGAATGCAGTTCCGTTCTAGAAAGCTAGATTAAAATCACAGCATGGTCATCCGAAAACGACTTCAGAGCCTACAGCACTGACAAACCATCCAGCTTTATGTTTATGGTTCTCTGATAGATCTTCTACTGGTCAAATATCTTTGCTCTATGTGAATTCACAGGTCAGAGGTCACCAAACCTGCATTTACTGGTCTCCGGCGCTTACTATGAATTGAATGATCACAAAGTCTAGTGTGTCCAAAGCTTTAAAAAGGAAACAAGCTTGAATATTGGTGAGGAAAAGTGTTTCTCTGTTGTTCTGCACCTGATTGTCTTTCGTCTCCTTGACAAAAAACGCTTCTCCGTTCTCGCCTAACTTCATGTGCAAATTCACAGGTTCCCCATTGATCTCAATGTCCACCTGATTGACAGAAAGAGAGCACATTATGGACCAACCCGATATCATAGGGAGGTCAGACCATAGATATCTATATAAAGGCTAGCTGTCTTAAGGCGGAGTTTCTATCGTCATCACCGACGGCCATCTTGTCACAGGCAAGCTGATATAAGGTGAGTGGTCAGCACGAACACAAATACTCTTATCTCGTTAAAATCTTGACGGATTTACAAACGGTTTGGTTTCTTACAAATAGCTATAATTATCTGGATTATTATTCATAAGTATGCTGTGTCATAACTACATCTCTGACGTTTATAACAAACCAAACCGTTTGAAAATCGGTAGAAAATTGAGCAAGTTATGGTTATTTAAATAGTACATGTACCATTAACACAATGTTACGAGTGAGCGAGCTGCCTGTGACAAGATGGCCGCCAGGTGCAGACGTCGACCTCCATTGGCCAGCAGCGCGGACGAGACATCTAGCCTTTATATAGATATCTATGGGTCAGACTACATATCCTTGTTATCTCAAATGTATCCCGGTACCACTCACCACTTTCTCTCGTGATCTCAGGACACCCATCTTTCCAAAGCGCACGTGAAATGGAGAGCAGGTCAGAGCTCCATCCGGCTGTCGGACAACGATGACATCGATGCAGCCGGACAGCGTGGCGGGATTCAGACCCCTGTAGAGTTCCTTCACCTGCACGAACACCTGCCCTGCTAACTGACCCACGTAATTCATGGTCTGAGCCTACATGGAGAAAGGAGGAGACATTTCATTAATGGAACCTGTACAAGTATGGTCACATGGTAATTATACGATATACATCCCGTCGATTTGTCAGTCAAACAAAGTGACTTTTGACGCAAATATGTCTTTTTTTTTTTTTGGAATTGCTATCCAGTTGTTTTCCATTCTGGTCAATTTGATACCCTCACTAGCAGTAATGAATTATTGATTTTCTGTCAGAAGCTCTGAGTTTATCACTTTACAAGCAGGAATTCTGTCACCAGTTACTTCATCAAACACACATGATGCTTTTATCAATATGAAAATATGAAATATGAAACGTTTAGTCCTCAGCTGATCACAAAGGTCAATGATCTGATCATAACAAACACCGTCAGACACTAATAATGAACATATGTCTGTCAAACGCCACAGAAGGATCAGATGTCAGAATCTGTTCTGTACTAGACACACAGTCTCAGTGTGATTATCGCTGTTGTACTCCCCCTGGTTTCATATTCCTCCATAAGTGAATAATGTCAGCCCCAGACATGCCAGCTGAGTGAACAGAACAGATTATTCCGGAAATATACAGAGAAGAAGAGGACGTTAAAGCCATCAGTTTCTCACTGAAGCTCTAAGTGGAGTCAATCCAGAAGTGAACCATTTGAGCCTTAGGCTGAGAATTCGCCACAGTACTCCAAATGATCCTTCACATGCGAAAAGGTCAGACTCAGAGGACAGAGAGAGAGTATGATCTGTCTCATAATCCCCTCAGCAGCACAGAGCAGTTATTTACATTTAATAATAATTTAAATTCAATAATTACTGAATTATAACAGTGTAAAGTCCAGGTTCAGAAAGTAAAAGTCCTTCTCAGTATTTTGTTGGATTTGCTAATTAGTAGGCTAGTTTTTCAGCCAGGAGAGAGAACTAACTAGTGAAATAGCTGGCTGAGTTCGGGTGGAATAAACATATGGCAGGACTTTTACTTTCTGTTTACACCTCTGTCTTTTGATAATAATTATACTTTATCTATAAAGTGCCTTTCCCAAGCTCAAGGTCGCTGTACAAGAAGATAACAAAAACACTGCATAAAGCATTATAGTAATATTATAACACTATTTTATAATTATAATATAAAATTATGATTGTATTATTTATTTATAAGCTACTTGTTTCTTATTTAATACATATATATATTATAGAATAATTTATTTAAATGTTTTTCAGTTGTATGGTAGCTTGTTATCATATCTTGTAGTAATAAATGTGATAAATATCAGCTCTGAATTCAAGTGTAAAGGAAAATAATGGCTCATCAACAGCTGTCATTATCTGTTATGTAATCAGAATGAATACGAAAACAATGTTTACATTACAATTTCAGTTTTATAAAACAAGTTGATTTAGGGTGACATTACACATATAAACATAAATGAATTAGATACCAGTATGTAGAAAGTCTCTCTCACCTCCAGTAAAGCTCCGTTCAGCGCATCGTGTTTACAGAAGAGTGAAGGACAAACACAGAAACATTCATGCGTTCATATTCTCTCTGTCATATTCATATTCCATGTGTTAGCGGATCGATATGAGTGACGTCAATACTATAGGAGAAATACGCCGATCAGCCAATCGGTGAAAATATCTTCTCATCAGGTTAATTTTATAATCATTCACTTCACGCTCGGAAGTCGCCTCCAACGTTTCACATGATATTAGACCGCATTTAGTAAAGGGATATTTTGAATTATCCGACTGTTAGAATGAACTGAAAGAAAGCCGATAAGTTGTGGGCGGGCGCTGATAGTTTGTTTTATTTTTGGGATCTTGCGGGTACCGCTTTGAGTGACAACTGTGAGGTGATCGTTCTGACCAATCAGCGCTCAGCATTCATGACGCATAGTCGCTACTGTAAGGTGATCCTCTTGTCCAATCAGCGCGCAGCTTTCACTGACATTCGATGTCTGCTGTTTTTAGCACTTTGAATGACATAAATGCAAGTTAAAATAAAATAATAATAAAAATGGTACTTTCTGCAATAATGAAAAGGGGTTTTAAATAAATGTTTATGTATTTTATGTAACTGCAAAGACATTTGTATATTTGTACATTTATGAAAACATGGCTTTTTTTAATCTTTGTATTTTGCTATAGGCAAATTATACATTCAAACTATCTAACTGTCTGTACACACCATATGTTTGGAGCTTGAAGGCTTCAAAGTTGCCTAAATTTCTGCAATAAATAAATGGGAGTCAGTCAAACAGACCAGAAATATAATATAATCAAGAGGTGACAGTTAAAGTCACACAAGCCCTGTAAGCTCCCATATTTAGTTGTCATAACAAATACTAGTGCATAATGTATGTTACAAAACCGGACCGTTTCTAAACATTATACTGCCAATAGAGAGATATAGTTGTATTTGTGCATGAGTGGAAAGACTAACCATAAAAAAGTTCTGTGCATCAGACAGACCACATTGGGAGATTTGCATGTAACAAGACTCAGTGCTGCGATCATGCTTTGAAAACAGCAGACAGACAGAGAGAGAAAAAAGGAAACAAGAGATTGGTTTTGAGTCACGCTCGCGTGTTCTTCCTCCACTAACCACAGAGTTGAGTTGTGGCTCTGTTTATGTATGCGTCTTTTCAATCTGTCTATTTTGTTACTTTGCTTATTCAGTAGGTCTCAGCTATAAAAATCTTTTATATTTGCCGAGTACCAAAATTGCGTAAAAATGTCTTTAGAATTATCATTTCGTCAATAAACATATCATATAAACATAGAATTATCATATCATCAATAAACATTTTACATTTATTTAAACACCTTGAAGTGTATATAGAGCCAACTGCAACATGGTTTACGTGACTATAGGCAGAATAGGAAAAATGACAAGTTTGTAAATGCATCAACAACAGCATTGTTCACTTTATAGATCACTTTATAGAGACATGAATCAATGCTCACTTTGATTCTCATTGCCCAATGCCAACACCAACTATAGCTTTTTTTATATACAGTATGTTACATCATTAAAATGCCAGTGAATAGTTTGGATGCACCTGATGTTAATATATATATATATTTCATTCCTAATCCTATGCTTTATTTATTAATTTACACTAATATAATCATAATAGTCATCGCTAAATTGACTTCAGCTGAACAATGGCACTGTTTTCTTTTAGAGCTGCAAATGAACTCTGTTTGCGCCATTGAATTATTTTTATTTGAATTTATTGAAGCTGCTTTGAAACAGTCTGTCTTGTTTTGTTTGTACTTGACTCAACAAAACCTTTTTTAATGCAAGTGTGGGAGTAGAGATTGGAGGAAAAACATCATTTGCTCAAAGTGTGCATGGCGACTTCTGAAGAAGCTAACATGATCCTGTGTGTGACATTTATTTATTTACTTAAATTCCCACAGTCATAGAAAACCTGGAAATAACTGTTTTTTTATTTCCATGCCTGAAAAAATGAACGCATTAATAAATAATAAAAAAATCATGGAAATTAATATATATATATATATTTTTTTTGTGTTATTTTAGTTCTGACGACTTTGCTATTAGGTGTGTCCAGACTTTGAACTGGTGCTATAGACACGCTGCCAAACACACACACACACACACACACAGGTTACCCAGGACCAGCTGGAGTCAATGGCTTCTTCTCTGCTCCTGAATTCCTGGTCACTTCCAGTTTCATTCTCATCCTCCTCATCCTCTCTGTGCATGGCAAGCGCAGTGATCACAGATCTTCTCAGAACCGGTTTAAATCTGATGCAGAGTTATAAATAGGCTATGCAAATGTTCCGGAAGAAATCAGTAAAAAAGTTACAAATAATTGCAGATGACCTGTTTGATCAGAGCAGTTCTGGGTTTCAACTTGTTCATGGATGTCAGAGACCGAGTGTTTCTATATTTACCTGCTACACTGGTGTAAACTGTGTGTTTGTGGTAATATGAGAGGGTCAAGTTCATGTGAGACCCTCAATTTCACAGTCCAAACACACACACGCACAAATTAAAATGACACATTCAAATTAGCACAAAATCAATTTTCAAAGAAAATCAACTGATAAGGAAAAAATAAAAAGACAAGCGAAAAAACTTAAATAAAGGGAATGGGTTTTGTGTTTATAAGTGTAAATATTTTAAGGAAAAAGTTCTTTTGTAGATTCTGAAGATTCCATTTCAATTTGTTTGCTTAAAAACGTATTGCATATATTAAGCTTAATCAAATTATAGATAAATTATGGGGAAGTAAAATATCCTGGGTCGAATAAAAAAGACTTTCAAATCAGCAATGTTCAATGTTGAATATTGACATTGATATTGAATATTTATCATGTAAATAATAAACCAAATAAATAAAAACAATAAAATCTATAATAAAAATATATATATATCTTTAGTTTACATTAGTGTTATTTATTTGTCTTAAAATGTTATCATTCAATTATATTGTAACTATGAGTATACAATGCATATTTCGACAATGAAAAAAAAAACTATTAAAAATGGTTTGAAAAACAACAAGGTGAAAGTGTTTGTAGCCTAGTGTATATTTATGTAGGCACAAGTGTTTATTAAAATGTTTTAATGTGATTCTGAAGTTTCCAATTTCTTTGATTTTTTGACAATTTTTTTTACAATTTCTTTGGGCAGATATTAATTTATTTGCAGGTATTAAGTTTAATCCATAGACTGTAAAAATGGTTTAATCAAATTATGATAAGTGATAGGAAAGTAACATTAAAAAGACAGAATATTGAATGTGTATATAATAAAACCTAATAAATAAAAACAATACAAATATATAATGAACCAAAATAACGGAGAGACTTCTGACCGAGTTTCCCTTGTCGATTTCTCCATTTATTTGATTTATGTATGATCGATTTTATTATTATCTTCGGCTTTTATTTTGGAAGCACTAGCTGTTTTCGTCGCCGGATGCGTGTCTTTTATGCCATGTTTTCCATTTCCGGTGCGGTGTTGTTGTTGTGGCGCTATGATATGTGAGCGCGGCCTCGATATTTTCCCTTGAGTTTTTGTCGCGTTCTGCGGGTTTGATGTTCCGCGCCGCCGAGATCAAGAGCTTCGGTAAAGCGGGAACCGGCTGGTACGTGTCTCACACTGCGGCATTGCATGTGTTTTGCCATCAGTCTTTTTAGAGCCGATCGTGATGTGTGTATTTCTGACCTGATCTCACACTCTCAATAAACTGCCGTTGTGTTATCACGTAGCTTTTGACAATTTACAATGGTATTCTATTTTTCTATTCATGAATATGGTAATAACTAAGTCATTACAACTAGTACCATGGCATTGCCGTATGGGACAAATACTGGACTTTGTATTACAGGACTAATACTGTGGTGTGCTTTTCAAAGGCATAGCTTGAAATCGTCGATCAATTGATTGATAATCGTGACTAATTATGAATCAAGCCTTTATTAAAAAATGTCACCGTGTTTCTATCATCATCATTATGTTTGGATGGACAATGCCATAAAGAAGGTATAATAGTATGGAAATATTGACTATAAAAATTCCCACAGTCATTCAAAACCTGGAAATAACAGTAAAAAATGTGATTTGAAAAAAATGAATAAAATAAATACATTAATAAAAGTCATAAAATAAATAATAGTAAAGTTATTATGTGACATGGCATTTAATATGTGAATATATTTTATATATATAAATTATGATATATTTTTTTCAGCTATTTAAATTGCTATCTGAGTACAAAATCTATAAAATCCATTATGGACAAAATTATTATAATTTTTATTTTTTTATTAGGGGTTTTAATTTTCTAATTTTAACCTAATTTAACTTATTTTGATCAGGCACTTTCATGGATGAGCTTGTGCATGACCTGGTGACAATCCCAAAAAAGCCCTCAAAAATTAATAAAATAAATAAATGATTTAAAAAAAAATATACAAGATATTGATTCTAATAGAAAAATACAAATTAATAAACCATTACGTGGCAATTACATAATATGGCATTGATTCAAAAGTCATGGAATTTTTATGCCGTTAAGCTCACAAATATTTAATTGACTTGAAACTAATTTCTTTACAATTATATTTTAAAATCTCATTTGTGTTTGCCTTTTCCAAATGCTTCGCCCTAATTCAACTTGCGTCCCTCGTTCTCATCAGGCACTTTCGGCGGACGATGGACGAGCTGGTTCATGATCTGGTGTCGGCTCTGGAGGAGAGTTCAGAACAAGCCCGTGGAGGGTTTGGCGACGGTGGAGATCACGCCCTGGCCGTCGGTTGCCTGTTGAAACGGCAGGCCCGCAAGCGTCGTGGCCGGAAGCGCCGGTCCGATAACCCTCACCCGCCGTGGGACACCTGCCACCTGAGCGAAGGGTCCGAATCCAGCCTGGAGGAGCAGAAAGACTATCGTTCGTCTACAGCAGGGGGCGCTCACACGCGGGACAACAACAACAGCGACTCGGACGAGCAGCTCGGGGCGAAGCGGCGGGCGCCCCTCACCGCGGACTCCGGGAGGGGGAAGAGGCCGATTTGGCTGGACGACTTGAGCGGAGCGGACGGTTTGGGATCCCGAAGTTTACGGAGGCGTCGGAAAGTCAAGCGCATGGCTGTGGATCCGCCACTAGATGTCGCCACCATGCTGGCTCCGCCTCCCAGAGCACCAGCAGTAGAAAGCAGCAGAGGGGCGGGGTTTAGTCCGGAAGCCAAAGGGAGTGACGTGAACAAAAACAGGGTGAAGAAAAGGAAGTTCACGGCGCAGAGACTCGCACAGGACGCGGCGGATGAAGGCGTGGTGGTGGAGAGCGAGGAGGCGGGACATACGGCCAAAGATAAGATGGAATTTGAGGAGCAGAAAGGCTCCGATGAGGACATGAGTGACAGGTGGTTAGTGATCTGCTTTTCTGTGTAGCCCCTCCTCTTCCTGTTGCTCTGTCTCTCAGAACGAGGCCTCGCTAAATGCTAGAAAATCAGCAATTTTTGCTGACTATTTTTTAAATATTTTTCTGGTCGTGGCCTGCAAACACTCCTCCGTTTTAAGACTAGACCTCTAGTTTTTTAGCAGATCTTTTATATACCAGAAACATTATTAATAACATCTTTTATTAAATCCACTGAGTGTAATAATTACAGCGACACGCATTAGCATAACATATTCATATTGCTTAATCTCATGAAATCTGTAAGGAACATGCCCAGGTCATATTTCAAATCAAAACTAAAATAAGAAAAATATGAAATCCTGTTTTTCCACAAAATTTTTTTTTTTTTTGCATGGTGAGATTATTTTTGACAAATAATACACCCCAATCCCAATTCTCCCAATCACCAAAATGCGCAAAAATGCATAATGCAAAAAAAGCAAAAAAATGCCAACAATGACATATTATTTAAATTAGCGTATTATTTAAATTATATAATGGTCATATTTTACTGCCTTAATATTTGTCTGATATTAATTAAAATAATAAAGCATTACTAAATTTATTTAAAATGATAAACTAAAATTAATAAATTTTATTACACTAATATATCACTGCAATACTGAATTGTTTTGCTAACTAACAATCCTAAACTGTTAGTTCACCCAAAAATGAAAATGATCTAATAATTTACTCACCCTCAACCAATCCTAGGTGTGTATGACTTTTTTCTTTCAGCCGAACACAATCAGAGTTATATTAAAAAATATCCAGGTTCTTCCCAGCTTTATAATGGGACTGAATGGTACCTTTTTTTTTGAAGTCCAAAAAAAGCGCATCCATCCATCATAAAAGTAATCCATACGACTCCAGGGCCGTATAAAGGCAATTTCTGTAAAAAAATGTCCATATTTATAACCTTACAGACTATAACCACTGTGTCAGGTTACCGAAGTTATAAATATTTATATTTTTCTTACAAAAATGCATCATTTCGCTTCAGAAGGCTTTTTTGGGCTTCAAAATCTCGGTTACCATTCACTCCCGTTATAAAACTTGGAAAAGGATAATTTTTAAATGTAACTACGATTATGTTCGACTAAAAAAAGTAAGTCATACACACCTAGGATGGCTTGAGGGTGAATAAATCATGAGATATTTTTGATTTCTGGGTGAACTATCCCTTTAATGGTCTTAAAATTAGGCTTCATATTGTTAGTGCAATTTTTTTGTGACCTTGGACAAGTTTTTGTGAGATTCACTCTTTGACACAAAAGGCTTAAAACGACATGTGGTGTGTGTGTGTGATTGCAGTGAGACGAGCAGCGTGAGTAACAGCAGTGATGGGGGTCTGTACACGAATGACGAGGGAAGGCAAGGTGTGTATATTCATATGTAACAAATCACCACACATCACATGTAGCATGAACACAGAGTGTATGTGCAGCATGTGTTGTGTTTCAGGTGACGACGAGCAGAGCGATTGGTTCTACGAGGGCGAGCCGGGCGGGGCTTGTGGGATTGCGGGAGTTGTTCCGTGGTGGGAAAGAGATTCCAACGAACTCGACCTCAATGACCCCATGTTCAACAGCATCCTGACCGGGGCGTTCCCGTTAATGTCACAGGGCAGTCAAAGAGGTGTGTGTTTAAATGCTCTTAGGCCCTGTTCACTCCTGGTATTAAGCATTTTGGTCGATTGAATCACAAGTAGACGCGTTCAAGGTCCAAAAGACAGTTTCAGTGAAAACTGCAAACTGTTCAAAGGGCTTTAAAAAATTTCAGACGATGAATAAGGGTCTTATCAAGTGAAACGATCACTCATTTAAAAAAAAAAAAAAGGTTTAAGCCTTACAAGCTCAAATGGTCGGCTTGCTCTGTTCTGTGACGCACGTTTGTGACTCTCCTGTTCGAACTCGTTCATCAAAATGAGCAAATCTTTTCCCGAGTCAACTTGTTCATTTCGTTCGTTGAATGAACCAAATGACACGAAAAAAGATTCGTTCATTTTGATGAACGAGTTCGAACAGGAGAGTCACGAACACGCATCACAGAACAGAGCAAGGCGAGCATTTGAGCTTATAAAACTTAAACTTTATTTATTTTTTTTTTAAAATGAGCGATCGTTTCGCTAGATAAGACCCTTATTCATCGTCTGGAATCATTTAAAGCCCTTTGAACAGTTTGCAGTTTGCACTGAAACTGACTTTTGGACCTTGAACCATTTGGGGTTCCCATTGAAGTCCATTATATGGAGAAAAATCCTGGAATGTTTTCATCAAAAACCTTAATTTATTTTTGACTGAAGAAAGACATGGACATCTTGGATGACATGGGTGTGAGTAAATTATCAGCAAAAGTTTTTTAAAAGTGAACTACTCCTTTAATACCAGCTGTAAACAGCCTCACACAAACTTAAGCATGAGTTGTAGTTCACATATGTGTCCACCAGAGGACAGTGCTATACAACCCATAATGGATACAAAAGGACCACATAACCCATACATCATCTTACAATCTAAGACAGACCCTGCAGTGCCCAGTAGCCTTTCATACTAAACCAAACACAATAAAACAAAAATTCACAGTTATAAAAGTAAAAAGAATGGTGTATGTTCAAAACTCTGAAAATTTGAGTTCATTTATTTCAGTAATTCAACTGAAAAAGTGAAACTTATATATAGACTCATTTCATGCAAAGTGAGATATTTCAAGCCTTTATTTGTTATAATGTTGTTGATTATGGCTTACTGCTTATGAAACCCCCAAATTCAAAATTAGAATATTGTGAAAAGGTTTTTATAGCCGTAAGGCATAATCCATCAAAATTATAACAAATAAAGGCTTGAAATATCTCACGTTGCATGTAATGAGTCTATCAGTTACTTTCACCTCTTAAGTTGAATAACTGAAATAAATGCACTTTTGCACAATACTCTAATTTTTCGAGTTGTATAACAGGAGAAAACTATTCATTCCTGTTCATCTCAAAGAAATGGATCTCACACACTGATTGTTAGATCATATCTCTGAAAATTTTTTTCAGGGTTTCAAGCACGGCTCGCACGACAGGCCTGTCTCCAGCAGTCACAGGTATGTGCGCTTGTCTAAAATATGAACACTCTATTTGATAATTATCTATTTAGTTGTGATGTTTTTCATTCTCTTTCCTAACAGGGAACCTCTCAAGGAATTCCTGATAGATTACACAGATTATCCCAGGATCCTCAGAAGTAAGTCCTGATTGGCTTAAAGGTATTTGACAGCTCAACGTAGGGATTGGCTCTATGACATCGGCTAGAAATGTCGCCCAGTGAGGCCGTTTACACCTGATATTAAAATGCGTTTTGGTCGATCGGATCACAAGTGGACGACACTAAATACAGGTGTAAACGGGGTCTAAAAGGTTTTGAGCTCATCCACTTCCAGAGGTAGTTGAAAACACATGGATTGCTTTTGTAGTGTAATCGCTCATGTGATCGAATGTGTTCAAAAGACCGTCTACTGACCTAATGCGTAAACATGAGAAGAGCTCTAGACAGACAGGGTTTAAACTTTATCGGCTGGAGACCCAAGTTTGGTTTAAAGACGAGAAACATACCAAGCACAATAATTCCTGATTTCTCACACACACACTCACAGCGTTCGGCTGGTCTTGCAGCTGTCAGACTTGTTCATTTGTTATGAATCTTTTTTTTTTTTTTTTTTTTCATTTGCATCCATTCTTTTTTATAAATGTAAGCAGATTTGATGAAGCACCTTTCATTTAGAAAGTAGTTCATTTTCTGGATTTCTTACATAAAATAGGTATTAATACATAATAAATTATTGCAAATATGCATAATTAATTAACGCAAATATGCATAATAATTTTTTTAATTAACATTATTAATTTTATAAAATGTAATGGTTATTTTAAAATGTTTTTACAAAGTAAAAAATTAAAATTGTAATTAAAATAATTCAACTCAATTTAATTTAATTTAATGGTTATTTTTTAAACTTTTTTTTACAAAGTAAAAAGTAATGTACAAAGCAAAAATAACATTGTATTATTATATATAGTACCGTTCAAAGGTTTTAGATCTGTAATAATTTTTTATCATTTTAGTTCTTTTATTTATTTTATTTTTTTGAAAAATACTTTTATTCAGCATGGATGCATTAAATTAATCAAAAGTGACTGTAAAGACATATTATAATATCAAAGAATCTTCAAAATTGTAAACACAGGAATAAATAGCATTTAAAAATATTTTTAAATGGAGAAGTTATTTTAAATTGTAATATTTCACAATATTGGATCAAATAATTGTATTTTGGGTCATAAATGCAACCTTAAAAAGAAGAGAATTTTTCAAAAAACATAAAGAAATATTACCTATCTAAAACTTTTTAAAAGTAGTTTAAATATGATACTGTGATATAATACTTTGGTCATATGTGTGTGTCCTCTGCAGCTCGTGGTTCAGCTCCGGGACCAGAAGAGACCAAGTAAGACAGACCAAATATTTCTCTCTCTCTAGATAAATCTATGCTTTATTTACTGTATACTGAGTTTCAGGCCTTTGTGTTAAAGTTTTTACATTTAACATGTGACTTTGTGTATGTTCAGTTGCTTTGGGATTCTCGTAGCGACAGAAGCCACAGGAAAAGCTGCGCTCTTAAGACTGCCAGCAGGTAAAAATACATATAATATATAATAATGTAATAATATATTATGCTGAAGTCCATTTATAGGGTTTCAAAATATGTCATTTTCATACATATTTCACTCTCTCTCTTTCTCTGTAGACAGACAAGTGGTCATCTTGGCTCTTTGTGTACTGGAGATATAAAGAGACGACGGAAAGCTGCACCTGTCGGAGCCCCGTCAGCCTCAGGTAACTGTCACACACACACACACACACCATTGTTGGATCATCTGAAAAGATTCAGACATCAGACCCACATGCTGAATACTAAATGTAAATGAAGTGTTCTTCTTTAACACAAACGATTCATGGAAACATGTGACCCATGTGGCCAGATAATTCCCAGCATGCATCATCAGGAAGAGTCAGAGGCTTTTCGCCGTGGTAACAATAAACTCAATGCTGTTTATGTGATTGGATTGGCAGCTGAGCAGACAGATCAGTGCTGATCTAATTTCCTCATTAAACTCCATCATTTCCTGCCCTCATCTGTGACGCAAAGCAAATGCCTGCGGTCCCTGGGGGTCAGAGGTCACAGAGCTGTGATTATGCATTTCTCCGAAACTATTTAGAGTTTATAAGGAGCAGGAAACTTGACATATATCATTAGGATTATGTGTCTCTCATTCTCTACTTTAGTTACCCTGTCCAGGAACACTGCTTTACATGCTAATACTTTACATTCAGGTTCAATTCGTCAACATTTAGGTAAGGAGCATGAACTAAACTTGGGCAACATTTATGGACATGCTTTATGTGTTCGTGTTGCTGTGCATTTGCATAAATTAGGAGGCCGAGATGATACGATCGAATCTTGCGTCCCGACGGCCGTTGTCGTTTTTCGAATCCCCACGACACCCTACGTCAAAGGGATCGTGCCAAAATCGGGCTAAAATCGTGTGATCTTCTACTTCCAAACAGATGGAAATGGACAATTCTCTTAATGTTTCGATCCAATTTGTTTTGTAATCACTGCCTGTATTCTCCCAAGGTTTTTTTCTCCATTCAATCACCTGATGGAGTTTTGGTTCCTTGCCATTGTTACCTTGCTTTTGGCTCGCTTAGTTGGTAGACATTTAATATTCAACAATATTATTGATCTGTGTTGTATTACTTTCATGTAGAGCCCGACCGATAAAGGATTTTGAAGGCCGATACCGATACAAATATTTTTGGGTTTTAAAATCCGATATTCCGATATATCGGCCGATATTTTTTTTTTATTAAATATTGTTGGATTTCACACACGTGTAAAAGAAAAGCTAACTTTTCTGCACAAGATACATTTGATTCTTTTTCTCTATGTCTAAATGTTCACTCCTCGAAAGTATAACTTGACTGTAACTAGAGATATGCGAGTTATAAATACAGTAATCATTACTTTATTTAGGCAGAAAAAGCTCATTAATGTTAACGTTAGCAGTCTTCCACTGATGATAGTGGCATATAGCTTTGTGGTTAGCTAGTCTATGATGAGCCATAATTTAGCAATGGATAACATCATACTGCAAATTGTAAAACATACATTTTCAATATAACAGGCCAAGGAGAGATGATTAAAGCGTGTTTTGTCCGTTTTTATTTATTTTTTTAAATATTCATTTATCGGCCATCATAACTGCCGATACCGATATTTTGGGAAATGCCTAATATCGGCCGATAAAATCGGTCTGGCTCTATGTGATCACAGTGAAGCTGCTTTGATACAATCTCTATTGTAAAAAAGCTCTATATAAATAAATGTGACTTGACTTAATCTGAACCAGGCATAACACAGATTTAGACAGATTTGTGAACAATATTTGAGAGAAATAGGCCTTTTGTGTACATAGAAAAAGTCTTAGATCTTTGAGTTAACCTAAAATATTAATTCTCATGTTATGTTACCCTTATGCACATTTTTTGATTGCAGATCAGGGTTGGTCCACAGGTCTGACTTGTGGACTCTTTCCACCCATCAAGTGCATTACAAGGATCAGCGAGCTTTACTGCTTAATGCAGATTATCCGTTTCTCTGTGTCTCTCTCAGGCGTAGTGGGCGAGAGCGCTGCTCCTCTCCCGGAGTCAAACGTGGGGAACCGTATGCTGCAGAGTATGGGCTGGACCCCGGGGTCGGGTCTGGGCCCAGAGGGCAGAGGCATCACCGAGCCGATCCGTGCGTCTCAGAGGCCGAAGGGAGCCGGACTGGGCTTCAACTGAGCTCGAGCCGAGAACAGAGAGAGCAACTCGCGCAGAGACGGCGAGCCGGGCCCGCAGGTCGTCTTTCTCTCCGTTATACCTCCAGCAGGAGGCAGCACTGAGCTGATAGACCAGTAGATGTAGGGAACGAGGATGCACAGAATGAAACGAAATAGTACACCTGCATTGGCCCAGACAAGGACTGACTGTAGAGCTGCCTCACTGCCCACACGCACACACACGCACCATTTCAGTTAACTCCAGCAAAAACGTGACGCATGTCAAACATTTTCCATCTGACATAATAGGAAGAAGTTTCATAGCAAAATCATAGGAAAAATTATTTTTTGCATAACAAATATTAAGTCTGTTTTTTGGACATTATTTCGTAAGCACATTTCTCCTCAACATTCTTGTTATTGTGATTAAAAATGTTTTGTCAGAATGAGAATTTTTCTATATTCAGTACGATGATGACAAAATATTTGCGTAATTACCGTAATGAGAATTTGGGGAATTAATGTGCTTAATCGTCATTCAAACGTCTCAACGAAGAAGAAAAAGAAGCGTTCGTTTTCTTTATGCAAAATATAATTTATTATTTCTTTATTCTAGAGCTGTTTTAATTAATCGCATCCAAAATAAAAGTTTGTGTTTACATAATATATGTGGGTGCACTGTGTATAATTGTTTTGTATATGTATAAATACACTCACATGCATGTATATTTAAGAAAAAAATATTATTTATATATTTTATATTTATATATAATATATAAATCTATATACAGTATATACATGAAAATATTTCTTAAATATATACTAGCATGTGTGTGTATATATATATACTTTGTATATGAAGAGTTCAGATGCAAAAGCCTCTAAATGCCATTTGAAATTTTCTTCTAAAATGATCATTTTTATCAAGCTTATATATTCAAGTTCAGTAATTTCACTTAAATAACAATTAATAGGTAATCCTCGTTGCAATTTAACTGAAATTACTGAACTTAAATATACAAGCTTGATAAAAATGATCATTCTAGAAGAAAATTTCAAATGGCACTTAGAGGCTTTTGCATCTGAACTCTTCATATATATATATAAAATAATTATACACAGTGCACCCACATATAACTTTTATTTTGGATGCGATTAATCGTTTGACAGCCCTACTTTATTTTGATGTTGATTTTTAATACCCTGCACAAGTATTTAAACGAGCTTGTGGGTCGTTATCAGTGATGTCAATTACTAAGCCAACCGCCAAACCTCAGCTCTCTGCGAATCCCAGTGGAAATTAGCAAAATATTTTATTATTTTCGAAAATAACTTTCGAATATGAATGAAGACCTGTTTTAGCAGATTAGAACAGTCCAAATCATCGTCTGTCTCTATTCATTCGGTATTTGTATATCTGACGTCACTCATGATATCGTTTGGTTTTTAGTCGTTTTTTGGGGGGAGGTGACATGTGTTTTTTACAATAATTTATAATATTTTTTTTAGTTTTTGCATCCTGTTTTTTTTGACGTTTGTGCAAATATCATGCACTAATAATGAATGTCAATACCTCAGCCAATCACACTCGTGTAAGCAGTTCTGCACGTATGAAATGCTGAAAAGATGCCGACTGCGGCTGTTTTACTTGACTGAACACGCGTGTGTTTTAATGGTGGTATTATATGAGGGTTTGGGGTCCATTTCTGTTTATCCATTTGAATTCTGTGAAATGCACGTATTTCTCAGCAGAGTTTGAGTAATGAATTAGATTAATTGACTAAATTGGCTTAGTTCAAATGAACTATTCAAGGATGTGACACACTTACTACTGACGACTGTCATTTCTGATTGTCACGAGGTGATTAAAGAAGATTAAGTCATTGTTGGGTAAATACTTCAATGCCACTTAAGAACAATCCCAGATTATTGGAGATGCTATTATCTCACCAGAACGGTCGCTGAGACAGGAAGAGTCTTTGGGCTGAATGTGACATCACTTCCTTTCTGGTTTTTGTACCGCCCTGAATGATAAGTGTTTGTTTTTTTTGTATGGTTTTGGAAACATGTTGTATTTTTAACCATGTTTGCGCTCAGAATGAACAGTTATCAAGTCGTTGTTGATGTGAATGGGGAACATGTCAGGTTTGTCCCTTCCTGTGATCTGTACATGCCAAACTACCAAACATGCTTCATTTGTTTACTTTGGTCTTTTTGTCGTTTTTTGCCAATTTGCATTTCGGGAGCAGGGGTGATATAGTCTTGATGTGTGTGTTCTGAAGTCAAAGTGTTGTATGTTCATATACTGTAGATCAGTATTAAAGCGCTCTCTGCTCAAGGTTAAATCTCCATCAGATTCATTTTCAGTCATCCTTAATATTTTCAACTCATCTCAGGGTTCTGTAGTTTTAATTCATTAATTCAATTATTTTAAATTTGTAAATTTTACTTAATTATTTTATTTATTTAATTATTTGCCACATTAAATTGTTGGTTTCCTCCTAAAAAGCGGTCAGCTCGGACCTTCTGTTAAACGTCTCCTTTGTTGTTCCGATGGAAGAAAGAAAGTCCTTCGCATTTAGAAGAAGATGAGGGTGAGTAAATAAATAACATTATTAAGAGACAACTCAATTATCATGTTGATTATCTTCAGGGGTTATTTAACGGTAGTTATTTTCCTATTCTGTGCGTTTGTTATTGTGAAGACTGTCAGTGGGCAGATCAATACTAATATACTCTCGTCCGTACAGCTGATCTCTAGAGTAATTATAACTCCGCAATCTAGCAGAAAATTATACCAATGGACTCGGTGTCTTTTTCCTGCTCAGCAACTGATGTTGAAGAATTATTCAAAGCGTCAATTGAGTCAGTGTGAACACAAGAGAATCCTGATTAGCTCTGGTCAATGCTACAAATATTAAATAAATACAATGACATCATTTACTAGCCAATAGAAAGTGTTTGGGAATCTCAAATTTAAGGATTTTTTTTCCTTTTTCCCTAGCAGATTTTAGCAATCATCATGAATTAGGTACAATTTGAAACACTAAAAACAGTAGCCTACTTTGAAATCCTTTAAGCAGGCTTCTCCCCCTAGTATTGGGTGATGTCATGTTTCATATTAAAAAATTACTGCACTGTTTTAGAATCTAATCTTGACTTGGTCTGAGACTATATTGATAATATTGACAGAACCAGCTAAAAAAAAAAAAAAAAACTAAATTTTTTTTTTTGTATTGCGCATAATGTTTTTGTGATATCAACGTGAAATTTGTAAGTCCAAATTATTTAGAAAAATATGTTTTGTATAAAATAATGTTTAGTACATTTGTTTTACTGTAAACTTAAACCTATAACTTTTTAATACTTTTCTTTTTTTTCTTCTTTTTTTTAAATGCTATAATCTGCTTGTTTAAAAAGACATTTCAAAGTTCAAACCTTTCATGAATTACAACCCTTTAGGTTTGGTTATGCATTTTCAAGTCTATGTGCAAAATAAGGAACTTGAATTTATTTAGTAAGATGTGAGATTTGAAATGTGACTGTAAAAAACAGTTTGCAGTTTGCACTGAAACTGTCTTTTGGACCTTGAACCGTTTGGTTCCCATTGAAGTCCATTATATGGAGAAAAATCCTGTAATGTTTTCATCAAAAACCTTAATTTCTTTTTGACTGAAGAAAGAAAGACATGGACATCTTGGATGACATGGGGGTGAGTAAATTATCAGCAAAAGTTTTTTCAAAAGTGAACTGCTCCTTTAATTGAGACGAGGTCAAGACCAATGATGTGTTTAAAAAGTATCGCATTTTATCCAATTTTATTTTTAAGGCCTAATATAGTCAACGCTCTAAAAACGCTGTCATCATTTCTCTCTCTCTCTCTGTGTGTGTCCCTCTCTCACAGAGACAGCGTGAGACAAGCGAGATGTGAATTGTCTCGGTCAGAGGAAATCCAGCATGTAATCCTGCTCAGCTCATCACTTTGAGACCCGAGTTACGTAACAAACCGCACACAGGTAACAACTGCCAGATACACACTCATCCAGACAAATTCATAATAGCATGAGTTGTGGAAACACATTTAAGTAAGATGTGACCGTAAAGTACATTCACACCTGATGCACATTGCACAAAACTGGACCGCACTTCATTGATCTATTAAATGTTCTGGTAACAATTAAGAGACCGGATTGATGCATTGAGTGCTTTAAAGGATAACTGATCACTTGGATTGGCTTTCAAAGTTTTGAATTGTTACTGTTTGTTATAAAGACACCAGCAGTGAGTGTGCTCCGTGTGCAATGTTTCATCATGATCCGAGATCTCTGTCTCATCAGGGTGTATTGTGATCAGGAGGGATGAGGAGGATGTTTAATGAGGAGCGTTTCCTGCTGTTTAGTCTGCAGTGACAATGATGATGGTGAGAGAGTTGCAGAATCAAGTAAATGTAGGACTTGGACACAGAGAGCGTTGAGATCTGCCTTTGTGTTACAGCTCAGTGTGTGTTTGCCCTCGGCACATGGGTGGACAGAGGCTTTCTCCAGTAATACCACTGAAAACACCGTCTGTTTACCTCCTGCACAATGAAGGCTTTCTCCTTTCAAACACCATAATCTCACATAAACACTTTATTGTTTCTTAAATGTTTGCTGAGGATTCATTAAAAAAATCTTTTTATTGAATCCTTTTAATATACTGAGGCACAGTCTTAAAAATAAATGTTTTGCACAAAACCGTTTTCAGTTCCCCGAAGAATCTTTCAGTCAACCGTATGAAGAACATTCTAAAAGAACCTTGTGGAATGTAAAGAACACATGAATGTTGAAGGTTCTTCATGGAACCATCGATGCCAGTAAAGAACCTTTACTTTTAAGAGAGATTTATTTTTCGATCCGCTGCAGTTTGCATATAACTTTGGAAAATAGTGGGATATTTACTCAGCAACCTGTCATTTTAGGGAAAAACTAATTTAATTGTAATCATGTAATCTAGTTTCATGGGTTTTTAACAGATAGACAAGGTTTATGGTTAACTGGATTTTATCGGATCTACTTTCCCCATTCTTTTTTTATTATGCACAAATGATTATCAGAGTTCCCAAGGTAAGACTTATTTGTTCAAATATGCAGATTATACTGTTCTTCTTTCTTTGTTTTCACATTTAGACCAGGAATATGGGCTGGGGTGGGGTGGGGTGTGGGGGGTTAACATGAAACTGGATTTGAATGTCTCAAAGACTAAATATATGCTCATTATTTTTAGTAAGAAAGCAACTAAACTAAACTAATTAGCCCACCTGCGCAGGTGAAGAATGAAAGTGTCTTTCGCTCATTTTATTTTTTTTCCACATTTCCGGGAAGTCGTCATAGTTGGGTAAACTTCTATAGTGGTGAATGAGAGCCTACATTATATTCTTCGTGTTCTCATTTGCTTTAAAAGAAAAAATACACTTTTGCAGGATTTGCGTGGATTAGTCAGAAAAGGATCCATAGGAATAATATATATAGTGGAAATCTGTTTCCATTAAATTGGTTTCAGGCAGTACTTCCTTGTAAGTGTGTTAGGTCTTACTTGTCATGAGTAAACTACAGTAATAATACCATCTGATGACATCATGTAGGCTACTTTGACGGCCGAATGCTTGGAGGTTGGTTAGAGAATAAAACACTTTGTCTACGTTGACTCATTCATTTAAAATACTCTACTTAAAATATAGCGCTATAGACAGTTGAGTCGACATTGTCAACGTTGTCAACATTGTCAAAATTGTCCTCTCTTCACTAGTCTCTTCACGCTCACCTGAACTGGTCATTAGTATTCATCAGAGCCCGCTCTCATTGGTCGATTATCCGGTGACGTTGGCATTAAGGCGGGAATAACCCAAACGTTTCTTCAATATTCGTTAGCAGTCTTGCGCTGCAGTCAAGAGAAACGCAGCGAAGAGAAACACTAACAGACCAGCGTGTGTTTACATTAAAACTTCATTACAGAAGAAAACAAGTGATAGGTTTGATTTCACAAGCGTTTCCTCAGGTTATGGTTTCATTCTCAGCTGTCTCATCATGGATCTAGTGCAGTTTTATCACCCGGAATCGTTTTCCTTCCCTTCTGAACAGAACAAGTAAGTAACTTAATTAATTTAACTACAACTTTATACGGACATAAGCAGGCTTGTACAAAAATAATTGAATTTTATTTGGTGTAACTTTGTAATAGAAAAGTACAGCTGTATAAAATTGATAGGCTACTAGGCTGAGATTTACTAAGAAATTGATTGAAGGTGATCCTATATTAATTTATATTATGTAAAAGTTACACTGCCAAAGTACAATACTTATAGAGGAGTAACACACACATATGTGTATTTGTGTGTGAGTGTGTGTTTTGCTCATCTGTAAGTCACGTGTGCACTTGCAAAAATGTAACAGTTTCCACCGAAATACTTGGTATTATATATGAATGATTCATTCTATTGATTTATTCAGAAGAGAAAGTATGGTAAATAGATATTCGTACATACTTTCAAGACTGTTCAGTTTTACATAATAAAGATCAGATATAGGCTTGTAAATGGAATGTAATGAAAGTGTTTTTCCATAAATCAGCAACTTTAATATCTGTAAAAACTGTTAATAACTGTCAATCCTCAGACCAAGATTATTATCAATCAATATTTCCAATAAGATCTAAAAGAATACAATAAGAGACAAGTTCCACAATGTCATTTTGTACATGATGTTTTATTAAAAAGTTTTTTTAAAAGCATGCTTTGAAGGACCCAGAAACCAATGCGTTGATCAGAAGAACACGTAATGTACCATCAACAATTTATCAACCTTAATTATTACTGTGTACTGAAAGGCATGATATTAGTTGCAGTGCTCTAATCCTCACTTTGAAAGAGTTGGAAAAATCACGAATATAATCCTGCTGTATATCGTATTTACGTAATAAGAACACATTCTGGCAGGGTTCGTGGCCATCTTACAGCAATAGGATTTGAGAAGTGTCACAGGTAATTCCTCTGGATCCCAGACAAAAACCCTGATGGGCTTAAGGATCACGTTACTGGCCTCTGCACACTGTGTGTGTGTGTGTGTGTGTGTGTGTGTGTGTGTGTTAGAACAGGTGTGTTCAAGTGCTGTGTGGCCTGTAAACACTACGTCTGACATAGTGGGAAATATTTCATTGTGCTGATAAAAAGAAAAAACACTAAATTGCTGTTCCATCAGATTGCAGCTCTTTTCAGGTTTCATGTACTGTAAGACAAAACATCCTGGTAAATTTACTGTAAATGGTTTAAAGTACATCAAAATTGTATTTCTGTGAACCATGGCTAGTAAAAATACACACATAATGAACATAAACAGTTTGTAGAACGTGCACAGTTTGACCTACACAAGGACACAACACCATCAGGGTAACACACACACGCGACGTCAAAACAATGTTGTTAGTTTTAAAGCTATATTTAAACAATAAACAAAACTATCACTTCCGTTCTAAAGTTTGGGGTTGGTTAGATTTATTGTTTATGTATCTTCTGCTCAACAAGACTGCATTTTTTGATCAAATGCAGTAAAACAATAATATTCTGAAATAGTATTGCAATTTAAAATAATGTTTTTCTGTTTGAATATCTTTTAAAATGTTATTTATGATCAAAGCTGAATGTTCAGCATCATTACTCCAGTCTTTAGTGTCACATGATCCTTCACAAATCTTTCTAATATGATGATTTACTGCTCAGGAAACGGTTAAAAAGGAACAGAATGTATTTGAATTTTGTTAAATTTTCAATATATGTATATTCTGATCAATTTAAGGCATTATTAATGAATAATTTATTGCAAAACAATCTTTATAATTGAATTGAAATTATATTTACCTTTTTCACTCTAAATTTTAAGGTGACCGGTGACTCATATGTTTTACTTACAAAACCAATGCCACAGTATTTTGTGTTTGAAATCAAAAACAACATTTTTCTATAAAAGGATATATATTGTTAGAGATTCATTATAAATCATAATAATATAATTGATATAACATCAACATTTATGCATTGTTATACTGTAGAATTACTTAATTATACTGTAGTATTGTCTTGTTAAATCTGTTTTTAAATATAATTTAAATGCATTTATACCTAACATTTAACTGTGTAATAGTAATAAAAAAATTCACACATGTATTTGTCCCTGTTTCTTAATTCTCATTATTCTTTTCATTTCCAAAGCTTCCTGGACCTGATGTCAATCAGCAGCCACTACATCAAGACCGAACCCTCAAGCCCTTCGTCCCTGTCGGACAGTCTGACCCAGCACAGTCCCGGGGCGTCATCGGACGCTGGGAGCAGCTTCAGTTCAATAACTAAAGGGAACCCAACGGGTCTGGAGTCGCCTGGGTCATACACTGGGGTCAAGGCAGTCCTCAAGCCCCCTGGCGCCCCCTGCAGTCTCATGGAGGAAGCGAAGGTGAAGAGCACACACGGGCTCAGCTCAGGCCCCAAACGCCTGTGTCTCGTGTGTGGAGACGTTGGATCTGGGTTCCACTATGGAGTGGCGTCCTGTGAGGCCTGCAAAGCCTTCTTCAAACGCACCATTCAAGGTCAGGATCACAGTTTCCACATAGATTTTAAGCGCTACTTAAAGGGAAAGTTCACCCAAAAGGTAAATTAGCCCATGATTTACTCACCCTGAAGCCATCCTAGGTGTATATGACATTCTTCTTTCAGACGAATACAATTAGAGTTATATTAAAAAATGTCCTGGCTCTCCCAAGCATTATAATGGCAGTTTATGTTTTGAAGTCCGTCCATGATAAAAGTGCTCCACACGGCTCCGGGGGTTAATAAAGGCCTTCTGAAGTGAAGCGATGAGTTTGTGGGAAAAAAATCCATATTTAACACGTTACAAACTAAAATTCTACTTACGCACAACTTATGCAACTTATGACGTCATCATGGTGTATCGTAAACATCAGCAGTATGTCGCATTACTCACATAAGTTGCGCTTAGACTTAAGTGGAATCTGTAGGTTCGTTTGGCCGGAAGCTAGTTATTTTACTCTTTTAATGTTTTAAATATGGATATGTTTCTTACACAAATGCATGGCTTCGCTTCAGAAGGCCTTTGTTAACCTGGTGGAGCACTTTTATTATGGATAGATGCACTTTTATCATGGATAGATGCACTTTTATGATGGATAGATGCACTTTTATGATGGAGAGATGCACTTTTATCATGGATAGATGCACTTTTATCATGATAGATGCACTTTTATGATGGATAGATGCACTTTTATGATGGATAGATGCACTTTTATCATGGATAGATGCACTTTTATCATGGATGGATGCACTTTTATGATGGATAGATGCACTTTTATCATGGATAGATGCACTTTTATCATGGATAGATGCACTTTTATCATGGATAGATGTACTTTTATCATGGATAGATGCACTTTTATCATGGATAGATGCACTTTTATCATGGATAGATGCACTTTTATCATGGATAGATGCACTTTTATGATGATAGATGCACTTTTATGATGGATAGATGCACTTTTATGATGGATAGATGCACTTTTATGATGGATAGATGCACTTTTATCATGGATGGATGCACTTTTATGATGGATAGATGCACTTTTATCATGGATAGATGCACTTTTATCATGGATAGATGCACTTTTATCATGGATAGATGCACTTTTATCATGGATAGATGTACTTTTATCATGGATAGATGCACTTTTATCATGGATAGATGCACTTTTATCATGGATATATGCACTTTTATCATGGATGGATGCACTTTTATCATGGATAGTTGCACTTTTATGATGGATAGATGCACTTTTATCATGGATAGATGCACTTTTATCATGGATAGATGCACTTTTATCATGGATATATGCACTTTTATCATGGATGGATGCACTTTTATCATGGATAGTTGCACTTTTATGATGGATAGTTGCACTTTTATGATGGATAGATGCACTTTTATGATGGATAGATGCACTTTTATCATGGATAGATGCACTTTTATCATGGATAGATGGACTTTTATCATGGATAGATGCACTTTTATCATGGATGGATACACTTTTATCATGGATAGATGCACTTTTATCATGGATGGATACACTTTTATCACGGATAGATGCACTTTTATCATGGATAGATACACTTTTATGGACTCATTTTCATTTTTGGGTGAACTATCCCTGTTGTCAACATCGATAAAAGGTGTGTTTGTATGTATGATACACAGATTTAGCTAGGTCATGCATGTTTTGGTCCTGAATCTGATGATGTCTGTTTGTCTCTCTCAGGTAATATCGAGTACAGTTGTTCGGTCAGCAGAGATTGTGAGATCACTAAAAGGAGGAGAAAGTCCTGTCAGGCCTGCCGCTTCACCAAGTGTCTGTCTGTGGGAATGCTGAGAGAAGGTGAGAGTGTGTCTGGATGATTCTCACAAAAACCGACACATTTCACCCCAAAATCTAAAGGCAAAAATATTTGAAGTCATTATTTTCATGAAGATTAAGCAACTATCAATGCGTCAGGATTTTTGACTATTGAGTTTTTTTTTTATTAAAATGATAATTCACAATAAATTCCTATTTTCAAAATTAAGATTAGCATAAATAGATCATGTCATTGGTTTACATTACAGTAAGAGAACGGACAAGAACTCTGGTGGTAAATAATATGCTTGATTGATTGTCATAAAAATCCTAATTACGCATAATTATATGTTTTGTTGGATTGTATTATTTGCGTTCAGCATTTTGTTTTTGCATCAGAGCATATTTGGGCTATGACCCACTATTTGACAACTGCTGCTTTAAGCAAAATGTCTTTGTTTTGATGATATGGGCACGTTCTTGACGGGTTTTGTGAGAAAATGGCTCACTACATGTAGTGCAATGACACTACAGTACACGCAGGCTCTTTTGATATGTTTGCCTATGAAAGCATCTGAGATCAAACACGTACATATTGGGCTTCTTTAGTGCTTTCACATACACGACCATAGATATAATAATAATATTCAGATAAAACTGAAGCAGTCAGCAAAAAGTGTTATAAAAGTGCAGGTGTGGAGTCGTATTTTTGCTGCCCTGATTTAGTTTCAGTGCACCTGCTTTTTCAAAACGCTGCCAAAATAATTTGTAAAATCAAACGGGTGGAGATCTATTTCAGCCGAACTGTATATTTTATTATACTTGTTCTATCCCATAATCTGCTTTTTAAGACACAGCTGTGACAGCTATTGCATTTTATGTTTAATCATTTAGTGAACGCTTTTATCCCAACCGACTTACAAATGAGGAGAACAATAGAAGCAATCAAACCAACAATAAGTGCTGTGTTATGGGTATGATCTGCCGCACAGACAATGAGACGTAGAAGTAGCAAAACAAACAGTCTTTAAGCAGAATTCCCATCACTCAAGAGATTTCAAGGGAAACTTGGCAACCACAATAAAGCATAAACGAGTACCGACAAAGACCTGAAGCAGGAGAATAAACACTCACTGACTGATCACGTTATTAGGTACACCTTGCTAGACCGGTTTGGACCCCTTTTGCCTTCAGAACTGCCTGAATTCTTCGTGATAGATTCAATAATATATATATGGTATGTTATTATTATTATTATTATAAAACAAAATATTAATTTAATATGCTTTTCGATGCTTTTTCAATTTGTATTTTTATATTTTTTTTCTGTCATATTTTGTCTTGCATACTTATATTACAATATTAATATGTGTGTGCAAGTTATGTTTCATATTTTTGTTTTAAGGATAAATAATTCATTTATATTATTAATAATGAATTATTATGAATCAATTAAGTATTATATCAAATTATTTCATATTTTTGTCTTGCATGCTGGTATTACAGCATTATTGTGTTCACATACATTGTTATGATGAATTACAAACCTGTCTAACTAGGTCTATACTTATATTTTTAATAAAGTAAATTCTAGTAGTATCAGCCAGTTTCTGTGTATTTACATTTACAGAACCTACATGATTTTCTTCATTGTGTGTGTGTGTGACTCCAGGTGTGCGTTTGGACCGGGTGCGAGGAGGACGGCAGAAATATAAGAGGAGAACTGACTCTGATTCCAGCGTGTACCTCAGCGTACCTCCACCTCACAGAAAACCCCGTAAGAAGCATGTTTCACCTCAGCCAGACACATCTGCTTCTCAGTGTATGAGTTAATAACCTCCCCTGGCTCTTTCTTTAGCGTCCTGCAGCATTCAGGGGGAGAATCAGGTGGTGAGCCTCCTGTTGGGGGCGGAGCCCGAGCGAGTGTGTGCCATGCCTGACCCTGCGCTCCCCGACAGTGACATCAAAGCTCTGACGACCCTGTGTGACCTCGCCGACAGAGAGCTCGTGTTGAACATCAGCTGGGCCAAACACATACCAGGTACACACACTCGAAACTGACATGCCAAAGAGATTTAAATTACACACACACACGTGTTTTATCTACTATCTGTTTTGGATACAAAGAGATAAAGTGCTGTTAGTTCAGACGTGTTTCTGTGTGTCTGGTAAAACAACTGGAATGTCAAATCCATTAGATGTTTTCAGAGAATTAAAATGTCTTCCTGTATTTGAGACGTCTGGCCTTTTAGCTGCTCTAAAGACACACATTTATGTACCTTAATAAGGACTTTTTATAGACTTTTGTTGTTATTAGAGCTAATGTACTTACTACAGACAAACTCTAACTTATCTTTATAACCGTATCCCTGAAAAACAAGCCTCAGGAAGTGATGACCGGACAAAATGTCCTCACTTTACTCTCTTTGATCTCACTCCTATGGTCTAAAACTCAAACGAAGGTCCTCACAAAGATAGTTGTGACACACACACACACACACACAGAGAGAGAGAGAGAGAGAACTGGCCAGCACCTGGTTTTGTGTTGATACTGACCTCTATAGTAATGCTTACAAAACAAACCACAAAACCAGGTGTGTGTGTGTGTGTGTGTGTGTGTGTATGATTCTCCATAACATGTGACTGATTATATGCACTATTTTGTGCACTGGATTATTTGGTGAATAAACACCATTAATAAACATATGGACAGAGAGAATGTGAGTGATTATTACACAAATCTACATGAAGACACACAATAGCCTTCTATTGTTTTAGATAAGGTTAATTATAATGACTAAAGAAATTATAAACAAAAAGCAAAAAATAGTGTAATCTGTATTTTCTAGTCAAAAATTAATTTACTTGGGAAAAAATTGTGTAAGATATTAAAACATATCTTGATATATTCAAATATACTCTACATTATGTGTTTATATTATTTTACAATTTTAGTTGTTTTAATGGTGGATCTTAGAAAGTTTTGTGAATTTTATTATTATTATAAATATTATATATTTGATAGGGATGCACCGATATGAAAATTTTGGCCGACACCGATAACCGAAAATTATTTATATTTAAAAGCTGATTACCAATATATTGGCCTATAAATATAAATCCAAGTTTTTCTATAATTTTTGAGAGACTGATTATAAAAACAAAAGTCTCACCATCACACCATCACACTATTATAATGAAATTCTCATAATTTATGTCACCTATATGACTTGCGCTGTTGCATTTAACTGTATTTTTCTTTGCACGTCTGAAATGTCTCAGCTTTGTCTTTTTTATATATATATATATCAGCTGTGATATATATATATATTTTTTTTTTTTGATAAAAACATTTTTTAATCATTTAATTTGTGAAAGGACCATTCAACACTTTTACATCATTTTTCTGAGTAAGAACATATTTTAATATTTATGTTTTCATATTATATATTAAAATATGTAAATATTATAATTGTTATAGTTTTATATGAATTGATATTTTTCAATAATTTGATAATTTTTATATATTTTTTTGTCTTGTACAATTTTGCTTCTCAATTGAATTAATCTTGTCTTTAGGATATTTAGTATTATTATCATTTTTTTTTTTTTACAAACATTAAAGTTTTTTCGCCTTATTCTTACTATTGTCAGGCTTAGCTCCCTTCTGCGAACAGCTTTGTCCCCAAAGTGTAACACAAGCATGTTTGTGTTTGTGTGTTTTACATACACATGAGCGGTTGTGTGTGTTCATGTCAACATTGAAATACTAAGCGTGTGTGTGTGTGACAGCAGCATTATCTCTTCCCTGGCGTCTGAAGCAGGATGTACAATAGAAGATGACATTGCTGATTTAAATGGCTCCAGGGTTGTTTATTTGCGTTGTTTGTGTGTCACGAGGGCCCTTTGATTCCGTTAACACGTTTCACAGACGTCGATACGGCCGCGTCTCCAGTGCACAGCGTGAACGGCAGCGCTGCCTCATTCAGCCCACGATCGATCAGCGCAGATGCAATCAGCTAATGAACGTCACTCAGGAGGAGAGCGAGCGAGAGATACGAGTCATTACGGCCTCTGATAAGCATCGGTGATGGGTGAAAAAATCAAATCAAAGCTCCTCTCCTCCCGCGCCACACCAAACTAATCACTGGCTTTTTAATTAAGTGTGCGAGAACGTGAATAAGAGAGATTCGTCCGTCATTGACGCGGTTCTTCAGGGGACAAACCTCTGTCACACACACACACACACACACAGAGCTGTCTTTCCTAACAGAGGTCACAGTCCAGTCTGAAGCTGAATAGAAATTAGCTCTAAGGGTTTTATCTGTCATATTAAAATCATATTTTATGAGCTGATTCAACATCTCAGAAGCAGGTGTTAATTAGTTATATAGCTAATTATGAACTTATTTAGGTGATTAGTTGTTTTAGTTTGTTTATCAGATTAGTTGCTTAGAAGTTTATCTAGATAATAGATATTGATTGGTTATTTAGCTGAATATAGTTGTTTAGGATTGCTTATTTAGTTGATTAGTAGTTTAATTAGGTGATTCGTTGTTTTAAATATGTTAGAGCTGCACGATTCTGGATAAACTGTGAAACATGATTTTTTGTTTCAAATAGAGAACACAAGAAAACAAAATAACATGTTATTTACTAGAGTTTCTTACAAAATGATATTTGCCGCAGTCTTGTTTAAAGTTCCCCTGTAGTCAATAATTGTATCCCTTTAAACTCGTCTTTTATCCCCAAACTGACATATTTAATCGTTTTTTCTTTTAATTTTTTTTCTTCATGCCTTAGAATAGTTTGAACGCAACTCCACACCCTCTAGTCTAGTGCACTCCTTATTAAATATATGCAGTTCTATGAATATGCAAATGAGCCCCGCCTCCACTCACTCACTCCAGCTCCGAGCTCCACTCGTCGTTGACGATCACACGTTGACCTGATTGGTTACAAAGTAGTTTGTGACATCAGAAACACCAGCGTGTTTTTGAGACTGTCTTTGGTTCACTGCAGTTTTAAGGACAAAATACTCAGCAATGCTGTCGACATATTCATTTGCACATGGTTTGTCTTAAAGCGTATTAAAAACACTAACTACATTAAAAGCTTGATTTTCACCACATGGGGACTGTAATTAATCTGAATTAATTATTTTTTTAAAGGTTTAATAGACGTAATTTAGTAATGAGATCGCAATCTGTTAACGATTAATCATGCAGCTCTAGTTTATGTAGTTAAATATTTGTTTATTTAGTTATTTTTCTGTTGTTTGCTTAGATATTTTGGTACTTTTGTTATTTAGCTGATTATTTATAATAAGTTTAGTTATCTGATTTAGTTCTTTTAGTAGCACTTTACAATACGTTTTTATTTGTTAACATTAATGTACTAACTAACATTAACAGTGAGCAAAACATTTGTTACAGTATTTATTAATCTTTTTGTTTGTTAATAAAAAAAACAGCTGTTCATGTTAGTTCACAGTGCATTAGCTAATGTTAACAAATACTTTTGATTTTAATAATGTCTTAGTAAATGATTAAGATTAATAAATGCTGTAGAAGTCTTGTTCATTCTAGTTCATTATAACTAAATTAGTCAACTAGTGTTAACTAATGAACCCTTATTGTGAAGTATTACCGTTATTTTTTTTAAAGAACAATTAAAAAGCAATGATCTGTTCTATTATCTGAGCTTCTCTGATCAGTTACTCGTTGACTCCTGCAGGTTTCTCCAGCCTCTCTCTGTCCGATCAGATGAGTCTCCTGCAGAGCGCCTGGATGGAGATTCTCATCCTGCGAGTGGCTTTCAGCTCGCTGCCCTGCGATGACAAGCTGGTGTTTGCGGAGGATTACATCATGGATGCTGAACAGGCGAAGTCAGCAGGTCTGCTGGAGCTCCACATGGCCATATTACAGCTGGTGCGCAGGTACAGATCCATGAGGCTGGAGAGAGAAGAGTTCGTCACTCTGAAAGCCATCGCTCTCGCCAACTCAGGTAAATGATACAAGTACTTGTACAGAACATTAGAGCAAGGAACGTTCAACCCTTTTACACAAAAACATGCTTTAATGCGGCTAATAGCATACTAAAAGGTGACGTATGTCGTTTCTGCGACACTAGTGGCACCTAGCGGGATTACAAAAATAAATCTTATTTTTAAACAATCTTACATCCCTTTGCTAGCCTGGCTCCGCGCTCCTACGTTCTTCCGCTCAATTTTCATTTTCCTTCAGTACTACATCTGGGATTGTGGTGTATTCTTTGTTTTTTTCCAGTCAATTTTTTACCAATCCAATCAGGCTGAGAACGATTTGCGCTAGTTTGAGCCGTCATACGTCACAACCAAACGTTAGCGATAGCGGTTATGGCAGATCCAGAGTATCCGCCTTCCAGGAATATGAAGTCTCTGTACAAATGAAATGTACGAGAGTGGTGGGACCCGGCCGAATGCCTGTGAAGGCTTCTCAACAGGTTCTTTCAATAAAAGGTCCAACATATTAGGAATACTTTTAGCTGTGTTGCTATGTGTCATGAGTGAAGGCCATTGCACACTGAGTCCGAAATTTTCATATGCGTTTTTTCGTATTTGTGATTTTGTGGCTCTGAATTGTCTAAAAACCATTCAAACTGCTTGCTATAGATGTGAAAAACGCAGAAAATCGAACCAGATTAGATTTTTTTTATGACGGACGAAATTTTCGGAGGCAGTGTGCAAGCGTGATTGACATAACGTGAGGTGGTCATATTTATTTTTTAACGTGCGGAAATTTCAGACTCAGTGTGCAATCTACTCCATCTGTGTTTTGATCATTGTTCTGAATCCGATCAAAAACGCGATTTTCTCAGCTTTTTGCTGAAAATGTTGCTTTTTTATGAAACTTACCAATATTCAAGTGTTGAAAAAAGGGATTCATGAAGCTAGAATACAGTTTAAACGCAGAGGGTCTGTTCTTTCTTTTGATAAATTGCATGTTTAAATATTCATTTACATTACATTTATTCATTTAGCTGACGCTTTTATCCAAAGCGACTTACAATTGCTATATATGTCAGAGGTCACGCACCTCTGGACCAATTAGGGGTTAAGTGTCTTGCTCAGAGACACATTGGTGTCTCACAGTGAATTCCAACCCGGGTCTCTCACACCAAAGGCATGTGTCTTATCCACTGCGCCATCACCACCTCTATTCATACAACAAAATATTCTGGGAGCCATGAAACTTGTGAATAATAATAATAAAAAAATGCTGGTAGTGGTTGGCAACTTTTTCTTTTAAACACTGGCGGGGAAACAGTTTAGATGGTGCCTGGGAGACTCGATGAGTAAACTTTTGTGGGAAATAAACCCATTAATGGCACACTAATAGTAGTCAATGAACAATGAACTGGGTTAAGAGTAGAGCCAGACCGATATATATCGGCAGACCGATATTATTGGCCAATATTAGGCATTTTCCAAACTATCGGTATCGGCAGTTATAATGGCCGATAAATGAATATTTCAAAAATACAATAAAAACGGACGAAACACGCTTGAACCATGTCATGAGTGTTGGAGTTGTATAGTTTGTCCACCAGAGGGCACTCTACACCATTCCTGTTGGCAACACCTGTTGAGTTGGGCACGATACATATATTGCTTGAATAACAATTAAAAGATCATCCCCATCAGTTCTCTTAAGTCAAATAAGCATGACAAAATTTGTGACTAATCATATCCAGTTTAAAAAAATAAATAAATAAATAAAATATCGGCCGATATATCGGAATATCGGATTTTAAAACCCAAAATAATTGTATCGGTATCGGCCTTCAAAATCCTTTATCGTTCGGGCTCTAGTTAAGAGAATGTATTTTAATATAAATCTTACATACTTCACCTTTAACACATTTTCATCAGCATATTATTGCAGCACACAACATTATTTACAGTCAATTTTTGAATAAATGCAGATAAAGCGTTCCTCATTTATTGAAGACGACAGTCAACACTGGATGTTTTGATTTCCTCTCTCAGACTCGATGCATATAGAGGACATTGAGGCCGTTCAGGGTCTTCAGGACTCTCTCCATGAGGCTCTTCTGGATTACGAGTGTGTCCATCACAGGGAGGACCCTCGACGGGCGGGCAAACTCATCATGACCCTTCCGCTCCTCCGCCAAACCTCTGCCAAAGCCGTGCGCCGCTTCTTCAGCATCAAACAGGACGGACGCGTCCCCATGCACAAACTCTTTCTGGAACTTCTGGAGGCCAATGTCTGATCCTTAACCCGACTGGACCTTCAAACTAAGACGGCAGAAACGTCTGAAAGAGGATCGTTCACAAATCCATGGGGAAAAACAGGTGCTTGTCATGACGTATAAAAATAGTACAGGATATACTCCAACAAATACAGTTTCACATAGTTGAGGATTGATTTAACTAACAAAAAAGAAGTATACACTACTGTGTTAAAATTTGTTGTTAATTTTTTTAGCCTTTCTATTCATCAAAAGATCCTGAAAAATACATCAGTTTCCAACTGTTTTCAACATTGATAATAATCAGAAATGTTTCTTGAGCAGCAAATCATCATATTAGATTGATTTCTGAAGAGTCATGTGACACTGAAGACTGGAGCAATGATGCTGAAAATCACAGGAATAAATTACATTTTAAAGTATATTTAAACAGAAAACTTATTTAAAATTTTAATCGGTTTCCTCAATAATTGACTTTATTTTTGATCAAATAAATACAGACTTGGTGAGCAGAAGAGACTTTTTCAAAAAAATAGGGTGTGAATATCGTTAAATTAATGGTGAAACTTTATTTATGTTTTTATTTATTTAATTTATTAAATTTGCAGAAATATTTTTCAGTTTTCATAAGAGTTCTATCATAATAGAGAGCATCAGCCTTGCCAAATAAATAATAGTCAATAATTACTCTCCTGACACAAATATAAAGGAAAAACAGTGTTTAACAACATCTACTACACATCATTTTCAATTCTAAGTCTCCGAAATGCAGTTTAGAAAGAAATATGATGTATAGATTAACAACATTTAAGTGTGGAAACATCAAATAACAGAGGCGTACCAATGCACTTTTGAAATTTTAAGTAATAGATTATATACTAACATAGGATTTGTTTAATGATGCTCATGAATACTGTATATCTGCACAAACTAAGCTGATTGCAGCTTTTGTTTATTCCATTTTTACCATGTTTTGAACCTTTTAGCACACCAAATTGGAAGGCTCTTGCTCATTAAATGACAGAAAAGAAAAGCCATAGCAATATCTGTTCTTCTCAGCCATCCACAGAGATGTGAAACTATGTTTTGAAGCAAGAACTGAACGTTGATTAAAATTAGATCCAGCTCAAAGTGATAGTTCACTCAAAATAATCTGACATTTACTCATTCATGCTGTACTGTTCTGAGACATGTGGTTTTATGTAATATTTATGCGCTGATTGTTGTCTGTCAGTCATTGTGATGATCAGATATGAATATGTTTACCAGGACAGACTGATCTCGTGAGTTTGTTAGTCACATCTGCACCAGTTTAAAGGAGTAGTTTACTTTAAAAAAAAACTTTTGCTGATAATTCACTCAGCCCCATGTCATCCAAGATGTCCATGTCTTTCTTTCTTCAGTCGAAAAGAAATTAAGGTTTTTGATGAAAACATTCCAGGATTTTTCTCCATATAATGGACTTGGTCCAAATGGTCCAAATGAGAGTTTCAGTGCAAACTGCAAACTGTTCAAAAGGCTTTAGATTTCAGACGATGAATAAGGGTCTTATAAAGCGAAACGATCGCTCGTTTAATAAATAAATAACAAAGTTTAAGTTTTATAAGCTCAAATGGTCGCCTTGCTCTGTTCTGTGATGCTCGTTCGTGACTCTCCTGTTCGAACTCGTTCATCAAAATGAACGAAACTTTTCCCGAGTCAACTCGTTCATTCTGTTCGTTGAATGAACCAAATGACACGAAAAAAGATTCGTTCATTTTAATGAACGAGTTCGAACAGGAGAGTCACGAACGTGCATCAGAGAACAGAGCAAGGCGAGCATTTGAGCTTATAAAACTTAAACTTTGTTATTTTTTTAATGAGCGATCGTTTCGCTAGAAAAGACCCTTATTCATCGTCTGAAATCGTTTAAAGCCCTTTGAACAGTTTGGACTGAGAGTGTCTTATGGACCTTGAACCGTTTGGTTCCCATTGAAGTTCATTATATGGAGAAAAATCCTGGAATGTTTTCATCAAAAACCTTAATTTCTTTTCGACTGAAGAAAGAATGACATGGACATCTTGGATGTCATGGGGTGAGTAAATTATCAGCAAAAGTTCTTTTAAAAATGAACTACTCCTTTAAGAATGACTGTCATTCTCTGATGGTTTATTCTGGATTTCTGGGTCTGTTATTTATGGCAGTCGCAGTTCTGTGTGTGATTCTCACTGTTTCTGCTTGTGAAGGTTTTGTGGATGTTGTACGATGCTCTCACGAACAATAATGTAAGTTTATCTTCTCGTCATCTGTTTGATTATATGCAATGACTTTTTTTTTAAATAAATGGCAAAAATTATATAAACATATTCAATAATGCATTAAACAACGGACTTGACGTGTTTTTCGTCTTTGATTTGAAGAACTGAGTGAACGCCGGTCAGGGTTACATTCACTAAAAACAAGCAGATTATTCTGCATATTAATTTGTGTTTAAACCCAAATATTTCTAATCATATTATTTATTTTTGGATTATGGCAATCTGATTGTTTTCTTTTCAGATAAAGGGCTGCATGACAAATATAAACACACAAGCGTACTCAGAGATCAGCAAATATCCCTTGTAAATAAACAATAACTTTACTTGTGTTGGATAACACGGCTGTTTGGTGGGATGTTTTACCAGTGACTGATTTTGATCATCTCAAACAAGCCTATGGCATCACGTGGATGAATAATCATATGCAAATGATATGCAGATGAGGATATGCATAGTAAAACTAGGCGTTGTAATCTCCATATATGGTTATTTCGGGGAGAAGACGCATATGCGCGCATTCTCCCACTGACTGGATTTATAAAGTGAATTCTGCGCAGGTTCTGGCGTACGAACGGTTTTATAAGTCTGAATATTTTTTTGCGTACGCCATTTTTGGCTTTCGGGCGCACGTACACTTTTAGTACGGCACAGTTTTATAAATGAGGCCCCTGGTGTTCTGGTTGGTTGCTTACTGGTCCCAGTCAAAAGAGTCCAGTGTGTGTTGATGTCAATGTAGGTGTGGAATTTAATTTCTCTGAGAAAGAGAGATCATTGAGATGGCTGTCGTACCTTTACGTCTATGAATAATCAAGCTAATCGATGCAGATAAATGAACAGCATGTCAGACAGCTCCTCCTGCATCATTTCACAGGCCGTCAGGAACCATCAACACATTAGTCTCTACACTGAGGGTAATTAATGAGGCTCGTATAAAAGATGCTTACACTGGAAGAATCCTGTACGGCTCTGCTAATAGAATGAAAATCCAAGTGTGTGTGCGTGTGTGTGTTGGGATTGCCAAACAGATCCTGCTCTGAATTTATGTTGACTATCACTATTTTTATAGTTGGGAAAGGTAACAATTATTTTTTTTATATATATATATTTATATATATATATATATTTTCTGAAGCATGAGTGATGCATGCCTGTACTAAAGTCACTGCCATGATGCTATAGGGCAAGGGGTCTTCATCCTTTTTTGGTGGACAAACCACAACCAAACCAAAACAGCTCCGTCCCACCCAGGCATGGCCTCTAAAAGAGCCTGAAGGTGTCCTGTGGTCTCTGACACAAGACGTCAGCAAAAACTTCAAGTCCTGTAGTTTGAGGTCGAGTCGCTGTGGACTGAACCTGTTGGTCCCACAGATGCTCAACTGAATGAAGATCTGGAGGCCAGAGCACAACTCTTCATCATGTTCATCTAACCTGATCAATGTGTGCAGTGTGACGGTGTGCTTCCACCAGGGAACACTATTGTCATGAAGGGGTGTATCTGGTCTGCAACAGTGTTTAGGAAGGACGCATGTGTCAGATTTACGTCCACATGAATGACCGGACTCAGAAGATTAACCAGAGCGTCCAAGGTCCAGTTTCGAGGCTCATGTGCCCATTATAGCCACTCTCGGCAGTGGACGGGTCATCATAGATCTCTGATTGGTCTCCATACACAGGAGATCCACAGTGTGTTGTGAGTTGTGACACATTCCTCTCATAACCATCATTGAAATTTAGTGTGCAACAGTAGACTTAATTCTGTTGGCTCGGACCAGACGGGTAATTTCTCAGCCCTGCTGACCGAGATGTTCTGACCCAGTCGCTCTGCCATAATAATCTGGTCACTCAGATCTTTATTCCTGTCTATTTCTCCTGCATCCAACATGTTGATTATGAGAACTGATTGCTCTTACATCTAATCTACCAAGAACTCAATGAGGCCTTGTTAGGAAATGGTGAACAATATTTACTTTTTTGATTTACCGCTGTGACTGGTCATAATGTTTTGGCTATATATCTGTGTTGTAGGACAAAATGTGAAAGTATCATTATTTTTCCTCATAAATTGAAAACGGAAAATCTGACAGCTTGATTTAGCAAACAGCAGCTCATAGTGTGCTGGTTCTGTCAGTCTGTAAGCGAGTTAGTGTGATTGTCTGTGATTAATTACATCTGCAGATGATTTTATCCCAGAGTGCATTAATTCACAGCAATAAACCCTTGGTGTCTCAAACGCGACCAGGCGAAACATGAATGCTGATCAGGGAATTAATGGATTAGCATTTTAGCGTCATGATAAATTAAATCCGCTCTGTTTGATATAGTGCGCATCGTGCACCGGGCACTGACTCATCTACAGGCCTCGTATCTGATGATATCAGCAGAATATCTATGAATATTTCATTTTAATACTTGCTGAAATCATCAGGAAGTTGACTCGTTAACCCCGTTTCGTAAATGGCAAGTCAAAATTGTTAAAAACGATTAGTATTTCTTTAAATCTGTATTTCTCTACATGTTTTTATAATAACAAAGATGGATTGCAGAGACATGTTTGGCGAAGTTTCTACTGAGATCAATCCACACCACAGATATCTGCACTTTAATCCGCACTGGCCTCTAGTGGTGAAGATACGACATTACAGAAATCCTCAATATTCACTCAGTGTGTTTGAACGGAAATAAAACAGACAAATAAAACACAATTCGAAACATTTAGCATATTGGACTAGAAATTAATTTGAATATGCATATACAAATCTGTCAGAACAAATGTATTGCCCTCAAAATATGGTTTTAACTAGACGACCGAGTCAATTCGTTCGTTTCGTTCGTTGAATGAAACGACTCGGGAAAAGATTCGCTCATTTTGACGAACGAGTTCGAACAGGAGAGTCACAAACGTGCTTCACAGAACAGAGCATGGCATGACATGGGGTGAGTAAATTATCAGCAAATGTTTTTTCAAAAGTGAACTAATCCTTTAAGTTTTTGCCAACTCAAAGCATTGTGCTGTTCTCATAAACGCTGGTTGGAGATTCATATAATTTTGTCAATGA